TCCCCCCCGACGCTCAGAGAACCCCCGCGACCTCTTAGGGCACATTTACCGCCAGCGGCCATCCGGATAATCGTGTCCGGATCCGTTTATCTTCCTGCCATTTTGTAAAATACACCACGGTAGTCGACCGATTGCTACAAATTAGATTGCTCGTCAGTTACTGTTGCAACGCAGAAACGCGTCGAGTACCTTTGCGCAATTGATCAACGCTATCTATCATGCATCTGTGTATTGCTACCTCAAAAATTAATGTACTTAATCGTAATACGAACTCTTCCATTCCGCGAGTAGGGTTGTGTTTAGTAATCGTCTTACGAAAGGGGCTAAATATTCATTTGCATCTAACAAATGGAGGGCAAGTACATGAATACACGAATACTGCAATTCGAATCACAAAAAGATATTTACTGGCGCAAGTATTCATCCAATCAGAGATTCAGAGGGGCCACTGGTTGGCAAGCAAGACTTTCTTAAAGGATCGAACATGGTGGTTGCAGGAATTGATATTGGCACGACCCACGGCTGTGTGGGTGTGTGGCACAATGGCAAAGTGAACATCATTGCCAACGATCAAGGATTTCGTACCACGCCTGCATATGTGTGCTTTGAGGGCGAGGAGGTCATTGTGGGCGACACTGCTGTTAACAAGTTGCCATCGCACGCTGACAACACAATTTTTCACCTTAAGCGTTTGCTTGGCAAAAACCACGATGAGATTAAGGATCGAAATTTCGTGAAAGAGTGGTCGTTCAGTGTCGCGCAGAACGCAGAGGGTGTCACGGTGGAGACGCAGCGCAACGGTGAAAAGCACCACGTGACCCCTGTGGAGTTTATGGCGCTGTTGCTACAGAATCTCAAGGAGCTGGCAGAGGACTTTACAGGCGAGAAGCTGGAGCACGTTGTCATTAGCAAACCCGCTCATACCGACAGCAGGTACACAGAGCTGCTAGACGCTGCTGCCAAACAGGCTGGCGTCAACGTGTTGACATACCTGAGTGAGCCACTGGCTGCTGCCATCGCTTACGGATTCGATGAGGCTGTTAATAATGAGAAGCCCGAATATGTGCTCGTGTTTGATATTGGTGGCGCCACTCATGATGTGACGCTGCTAAATGTTGACAAGGGCTTGTTTCAGGTCGTGGCCAGCAAAGGCAAGGATACATTAGGCGGCGAGAATTTTACGGCTGCTGTGTTTGATCATTGCGCTAAAGCTTTTCTGCGTAAGACTAAACTGGACATAAAATCTAATCAGAAAGCTTCCAGTCGTCTTCGCATTGCATGCGAGGCTGCCAAGCGCTCGCTTTCCACGCAAACGCAGTCGAACATTGAGGTAGACTCTTTGATGGAAGGCGAAGATTTTGCCCTCAAATTGTCGCGCCCTCGTTTCGAAGAACTTATTAGCAACTTCGTTAATGAAACAATCACCGAAATTGATGTTATTTTAGAGGAAAATGATCTCGAAAAGGATGACATCGACCACATCATCTTGGTAGGCGGTTCCACTCGTATCCCTCTGGTGCAGAATGTCGTCAAAAAGTATTTCGAGGGCAAGAATGTGCGTACGCAATTGTCACCTGATGAGGCTGTTGCCTTTGGTGCTACTATCGAAGCGTCTTGCCTTGTTGAGCTTGTGGGCGTATCCAAACCCATTGAGCCGGTAAACATGGTAAATATGGTGCCACTAAATCTGTCTCTGGCTCTGGCTAACGGCAGCGTAGCAGAGCTCATTCACCGCGAGACCATTTTGCCTGCCACTGTAACTGAGATTTTTACGACCTCGTGCGACAACCAGGAGACGGTCTATCTACAGATTTACGAAGGTCAGCGCATAATGGCCAAGGATAACACCCTTGTGGCGCAATTGAAAGTGTCGGGCATTACCCCGTTACCCAAAGGCGACGCCGCGATTGAAGTGACCTTTACTGTGAGCACAAAGGGTGTTCTGACAGTGACCGCCTCAGAGCGTATGGCCGGCACGAAGTCGATCCAGGTGACCCAGGATTCGAAGCGATTGACACCTGCTGACGTCGCTGCTATTGTCAAAAACGCCGAAGACGCCGCTGATGAGGATGACGTGCTCTTGGGTGAGTTAGAAGATGCTGAAAAAGCTGCTGAGAATGCTGTTGCAGCCCCGGAAGTTGGAGCTGCCAGCGCTCCAGTCATTCCAGTTGCGTCTACGCAGGACCTAGACTAAGCTACATTACAAATACAGTTTAAGATGCATATTCTGTGCAATGATGAAAACAATCGTTACTGTCATGGTTTTATCACAAAGCTGTAAGCTTTTCTCACTCAATTGGCTAAAACTTTCAGACAAGTACGTAACTTACATTAAAATCCCAAGGAGCAGTATGGACGATGACGTGAAAGTCGCGGCGAACTCGATGAACGTACGTGAAGTTTGTAGCAGTAAGAGGACACATTCACTCTTAGTAAAACAGTCTAATTCTCTTTGTCCTGCTTATTTGTGCGCCAGGATCGAGGCGCTAACCTCGACTTTGGTATTTTAGCATGGCTAAAGACTTTAATGGGCAGAAATATTGGCAATTGACGGTCTGTCTAAACTTTCTTTGCTGCAGAAGTTTCGGTCGCTGCAAGTGATGATCTAGAGAACGGTTTGTTGTCTCCGAAGATCAAGGACTTGCTGATGGGATCTAAAGACGTGGAAGACAGTAATCCTGCCCGGCCCCCTGGTCTGTGTGGCTGTTTCACTTTGTCCTTCTACCAGCCAGTATGAGCTCGCTGTTATTTCGTGGATATCGTTAGCGCATTTAACTTGTACGAGTTGCATTATGTCACAGTATTTTGATGTCGACACGTCGGACGTTCAGCAGCGTATTGTGCGAGCACTTCTACCATTCAAGAAAGAACCGGCGTTCGCTGAATTAGCGCTTCAGTCGCCTGATGCGTATGGACCATTCTGGCTTTCCTCGACACTCATCTTCTGTCTAGCGTCGTGCAGCAATGCAGCCTCCTTCATGGACTATGAAGGCAATGCAGACGAGTGGTCATACGACTTTAGCCGCCTCGCTTCAGCCTACACGCTGGTGGAAATTTTTCTGCTAGGCCTGCCAATTTCCATCTGGCTAGTCGGCAAATATTTTCAGGTCCCTATGACATTGCTTTTTCTCGTGTGCCTCTATGGTTACTCTTCAATCATGTTCATTCCCGCTGCGGTAAAGTATAAGTATTTGACGGAATACAACAAAGCTATACTGAAGTCTTTGCTTAGTGAGATGTAAGAATGGCTAATATGTGAACTTTTACCTACAGATATTGTGTATTGCGCCTGTTGATGCAGTGGACTGGGTTGTGATGCTATTTGCGATGACATGGTCGCTCTTCTTTTTGCTGACCAATCTATGGCACGTCATCTCTGAGCATCTGACGAAGGAAAAGATGTTGCCAGTGTTGGCAGTTATCAGGTTATGAACATGCTTACTTAAGCAAGCCATCTGTGGTACTGATTTTTTATGAATTTGCAGTGGGGCACACATGTCATGGGCTGTTCTAATGAAACTTTTGTTCTTTTGAGTTGCGATAATCGATTGATCACACTTATAGGCATTGTCTTGATGTTTGAAACTCATCTATACTGTACCTTATTACCGCAAGATGCATTATACACTACTAATACAACAATTTACTTACGGAATCACGACAAACAAAAAGTAAGAATCGACATAATGGCCACCTAAGAGCAAATTTTAACGCTTGTCTATACAGCCTGAAAATTTTCCTCGTCGTCGCTGTCCAAGCGTATTCCACTTTCAGCATTGAGCATCATTTCACGCTCACCATCTGGATCCGCACTTATGTTTTCGAAGTTTATGTCTTTTCCGATTGTCGTTGGCCGATCAGATCGATTTCTGTGTAAAATTATCTACTGAGATCCATCACAACAAGATATCCGAATCAAAACGATCGTACTTTAGAAAAAGCGCCAGCCGAACGTATTGCACTGCATTGCGCAGCGCCAGCACTGAATCTGCGGCGACTGCTTCCAGCTCACCCAAAACGCCTTCCTCATTAAAATACATAGCCACCGACACTAAGCTCATTACTGAAGACGATAAATGACAAAACTGTCAGCAATAAAGCAAAGAACTGCCTTCTATCTATACTCACCCAAAGCGACGATGTCAAAAATGTTGCACCATTTCTGCCAGAAGCGCTAAAAGCCATTTCAAAAGTGAATGCACATCAATAACAATTTGTTCCCATTCTTGCTTGCAACCAAGGCACCTTTTTGAATGCCATCATCCGCAACAGCACCTCGAGCACTAGCAGTGTACTGACAGTGATCTCAAGTGAGATGAACATCATTGATGACGGACTTTAACAACACATAAAAATGGTTAGTCGGTCGTGAATTCCACTCTAACAGCCAATTTGACGCACATTTTCCAATGGTTTATTGAGGTCTGAAAATCATTAGCAAACATGGACAACAGTACGAATTTAAGCATCTCATGACATGTAAAAACAGTCACTGAAATTGTAGCTCTTACCCAGGCGACGCATACGACACTGAAGGCAATCATGAAAGAGTACACGAGGCGATAAAAATGAGAAAAGTAAAGCCGACTTGCAACTGTCATGATATACTCCATGAGACCAATCTGGGACGCCATCGGCTCCACCACGCCCGCTAATTTTGCGTAGCCCATCGCGTTAGGAAAAAATATCGGGCAGACTCTAGCAGCCTGAGTTTGCACACGATTGCCTTAAAAGTACTGGAAGAAAAAATTCTTACTCGACAAACCTTAAAAAGGTTCAGTATTTTTGCGCATAGAAAATGCTTCTCGTAGGAAAGCTGTACATTTTTTGTGTTCTGAAATTTATTAAACAGATCAGTTGCAGTCAAAATATACAACCCGCGAGTATGCTCTCTCTGATTCACGCGCTGCGCAAGGCAGCTGCGACCGTTATCACGCACTAAAAAACTCTTGATATACCACAAACTCTTAGGCTACTTGCATATATATTACCTACAATACGAAAGAGGGGTACATGATTACTTCCTCTTGTCGGAAGCCGTTTACGATTGCGACCGCAGTGCGCAAACAGTGCCGAAATTAAAAGCCACATGCCATGTAAGAAGTTTCGGCGCAAGCTTGCGATCAATACAGTGATGGTTGCGAACCAGTTACTTTTTCGTAGACATCGAAACATCTTAGCCCATCACGGTATTGTCAGCATCAAAATACTTGGGCATGCTTCTAGAGCGCTAGAACGAAAAAAAAAACCTCAAATAAAACACTGACAAATTTGAAGGGGTTTGCTAGTTTATATTTGCACAATGAAACCAAGTCTTGACTGTAAGGTGCTTAGGTGGAAATTGTCAGTTGCCTACACTTCACAGTAAGACTTCAGCTGTATCGTATCAAAAAGGAAGAAATATCAATTTCTCCATTTTGCTCTTGGCATTAGTTAACATTTGATTGTTTTTGACCTCCTTCATCAAATCTAACAATTTTTCTACTTATTTCACCTAACGGGGTCTGCATGGAGCAGTTTGGGCGTGTTGTTTAGGCCTACTATTCGAATACGCCTGTGTATAGTCCCTACATGTCAAAAGTATTATAATTGTAGCCTACATGTACGTCGTGCAAAACAACAATATCGTGTGCCCTACAGAGATCCACCTCTTTTCTTTGTTTCTTAATTTACCATGCTTCCTTAGCGTCGTAGCCTTGGCCATATTAACCACTCATCGCTTTTCAAACACACTTGCTGTAATAATGATTGACGACGAGATGTTAGCTCAACTCTGGAATTGAATGATTGGTTTCTTCGGTTGATTCCCAGCAAGCTTCCGCCCAAATTACTTTATCACTTCTGAATACTCTTTATGATCGTTGATACCTATCGTCGTCGGTCAATTGGGTCATCAACTTTTCCCGAGAAGCAGTACATCTGCTTGCATGAAGTAATTTCAAAAATGAAATTGTCGATCAATCCACGAGTATTTACACTACTAATATACATGTTTTTACTATTTCCGAAACGAACTCATGTTTTACCGACTTTTACAAAAATTCATCATCATTTAAAATATTTATGCTTCGATATTTGTAAATCCTTACCGTACCACAGAATATACAGCGAGATGTACCATGCCACATGCGCGATCAGACTGATTTGCTTGAGGGACCCATGCGGTTCAAACCCGAATCACTGCTCTACATTAGATGGTAGATTAGCTTCCAAGATGATTCAAACGGTAATTGGTCTTCAAACGAAGTTTTCGTGTCTTTATGAATCGCGAGAGTGCGGTTGTGGTACGGGTAACACAAGCCTTAATAGCTGTGTCCGCATTATCTGTGATTTTGAGAATGTAACTCAATTCCTTTCAAGCTACGAACGTAAACGAACAAATGAAGCGAGGCTGCCGTAGCTTTGCGCGTTGAGGAGGCGTAACTTAGGCCTCCGACCTTTCGTTTTATACTTAAAACAAGTATGAGTTTAGCGGATCGCAATCCGCTTACTCCAAGAGTAATTATTGCCTTAACCCAAGGCAAACTAACTCTTTTGTTTAAAATCCAAAACTGACTGTTATTTATTTATATTTGCGACAAAGCCGCCTATTTTTATATGTTTGAATTCTCCATATATATAGTAAATCTAAATATATGCATAACTTCTGGCTTCCCAGCCACGTACCGTATTCTTGTTTGGGTGCAGTCACACCATGCCCATCTCGTTTGACACACACCCCTGTTACCAGGGTACGTGTAACCCCGTTACACTCTCCCCCATTAAG